AGAAAACAGAGTTAACGTTTCGGGTCCGGTGACCCTTCCTCAGGTGCCAGACCTGCTGAGCTTTTCCAGCAACTTTGTTTTTGTTCCTGATTCACAGCATCCGTAGTTCTTTTGGTTTTTATTTAGTATTTCTCCTGTCTCTTTTGAGACCAATGCATTTTTTTAAGAATTCTCGGTAGACCGCTCTCACTATGTTGCCCAATAAGAATCAGCATCTTCAGAGAAGGAGAAGACTAAATTGAGGAGAAAATGGAGAATCAGTGTTTTACAGAAGTCTATCTTCTTCACACTAATGAATCCACTAGACTAACTGTCATAGTCATAAGATTTCCATTCAGTTTTGCAAGCAGAGAGAAACATAGTGTCAATGTCACTGATCCAGTAATCTAGGCTCTCAAGCTAATGCAACGGTCTGGATGATCCAAGGGTTCAAATCCCATCACATCTGGAAATTTGAATTGAATTAAAGAAATCAACTTTTTTTTTAATGTCCTGGAATTGAAAGCTAGTCTCAGCAATGGTGATCATGACAATGCCATTGCCATAAAAACTCAACACCATAGACCCAAAGAGTCATAAAGCATAGAAGCAGACCCTTTGGCCCACCATGTCTATGCCAACCAACAAACACCAATCTACACTAATCCTATTTACCTGCACTTGGTCCATAGCTGACAATACCCCAGCATTTTAAGTGCTCATCCAGACACTTCTTAAATATTGCAAGGGTATCTGCCTTCACCATCTCTCAGGCAGCATGGTCCATATTTCTCCCAACCTCTGGGTAAAAACGTTTCTCAGATAGATTACAAAGAGATCTTGATCAATTTGGTCAATGCGCTAAGGAGTGGCAGATGCAGTTTAATTTTGATAAATATGAGGTATTGCATTTTAATCAAACAAGCAAGAGCAGGACATATATAATTAATGGTACAGCCTTGGGTAGTGTTGTAGAACAGAGAGACCTTGGGGTCCAGGTATATAATTCTTTGAAATTTACATCACATGTAGACAGGGTGGTTAAGACAACATTTAGCACGCTTGCCTTCATTGCTCAGACCTTTGAGTATAGGAGTTGGACATTATGTTGAGGTTGTACAGGATGTTTGTGAAGCCTCTTCTGGAGTACTGTGTCCAGTTCTGGTCATCTTGTTATAGGAAGAATATTATTAAGCTGGAGAGGGTTCAGAAGATACTTAGCAGGATGTTGCTGGGTATGGAAGATTTCAGTTATAAAGAAAGGCTAGGACTTTTTCACTGGAGCATATGAGGTTAAGAGGTGACCTGAGAAAAGTTTATAAAATTATGAGAGGTACAGTAGTGTTAATGGTAGGTGTCTTTACCCTAGGATGGGGTATTTCAAGACGAGGTGCACATTTTTAAGGTGAGAGAAAAGAGATTTAAAAGACATGAGGGGTATTTTTTTTACACAGAGGGTGGTTCGTGTGTGGAATGAACTTCCAAAGGAAGTGGTGGATGAGGGTACAATTACAATGTTTAAAAGACATTTGGATAAGTCCATGAATAGGAAAGATTTGAAGGGATATGGGCCAGGAGCAGGCAGATGGGACTAGTTTAGTTTGGGATTATGGTCGGCATGGACTGGTTTGACTGAAGGGTCTGTTTCTGTGTCGTATGACTCTCTGATTAGCCCTCCTCATCTGCATTTATCAGAATCAATTGCTGTCTGCATGCTAACCGTACGTTTCTTGTTCCGTGCAGCTATTATCATTGGAGCAGTCATAGGCTCTCTCCTGGGCCTGATCCTTATTGGTTTGTTGCTGTTTTTCATCATCACCAAGCGAGTACCATGGGGGTAAGTGTTGCTGCTTGATGGGCACTGAGTGGGAATTTTGTAATGTTAGGGCAGCCAACACAGATCCCGGAGCTGAGCTCACCTTTCTTCCATCAGCAACATCAAGCAGACTGGCAAAGTGGTTTGTGAATCCCCACTCAGAGTAAAAGCCTCCTCTCTCCATTGCCAGCTCGGGTTACCCTGTGTGAATTGGCACTTCGAGACATTTTCCATCCTGTTTCTAACGGATGTGCAGTACCATCCAAAATCAGTTTTGAACTAGCAATAAGCAGGGAGTTGAGTTCAGGGTGACAATGCAGGGCTATTGTGAATGATGTCCTATTGGTGTGCAAGAAGGTCCACTTTCCAGATTTATCACTGGATGAAATGAAGGGAATTTTACCCTAATCCTGACCTATGCGGAGTGTTTGATTGGACAATTTGAAGACATTGAAACTGAGAAAATGGGAGCAGGAGTAGGCTAATCGGCCCCTCAAGCCTGCTCTGCTATTCATTATGATCATGGCTGATCATCCAACTCATTAGCCAGTTCCTGCTTTGCCCTCATATTCTATGATCCCCTTAGCCCCAAATGCTAGATCCAACTCCTCCTTGACATCATACAACGTTTTGGCAGTGACTACTTTCTGTGTTGAAGAATTCAATAGGCTTACCATTATCTGGATGAAGACATTTCTCCTCATCTGAGTCCAAAATGACTTACCCTGTATTCTTAGACTGTGACCCCTGGTGATTGGGAACATCCTTCCTGCATCTATTCTGTCTAACGTTCCAACCACTAGTCTCATGGGCAGAGTGAGGTATTATCTGGCCTGGGAATAATGAGTAGTAAGGAAAGGGAGCAGAAGTAGGCCATTCAGCCTCTCAGTACTGGGATATATTCACATGGGGAATCTGTAAGACCTCCCAGGCCAATCTTTGAATGGTGCAATCTTTGAAAGCACTGCAGATTGGTGATATCTTTCCTTTTCATTTTGTTCTAGGAAAGAAACAAATCGTGACCTTTCACTAATGTCTGCTACCCCTAAAGAATTCAAGTAAGTGGAATTTTCATCTATTCCCAAAGGTTCTGACTATTATCTTAACCCTACCCTAAACTCCAAAGCTTCATCCCCATGGTTACCCATTCTACACCACGTCATGCTTTCTTGGGGTACTTTAAACACATTTGACATGGTGACAAAGTGCATTAATAATCCAGAGGCTAACATCCTGGGGTCATGGGTTCAAATCTCACCGTGGCAGCTGGTGGAACTTAAATGTAATTCATCTGGAAGTGAAAGATAGTCTTGGAATTGCTGCCAGACCTGCTGAGTTTCTCCAGCGATCTCTGTTTCTGATGTAGGGAGTAGGACAAACTGGAAGGTTGATTGAAAGGACTTGGGCAGACTCGATGAGCTGATGGTGTCCTCCTTTGCTGTACTAAAGTAGACTCAGAGTGTCTTAATGGAGTAGTTTTCACCCATGCTCTGTTCTGTTCACCAGACCCGTCCATCTGAGCGAATATGAGAGTTACTTTCAGAGAAAGCATGCTGACGCTGATTTTGGATTTGCAGAGGAATACCAGGTAAGGAAAGAGTGGATCACAGGATAGGTTACTTAATTTTAAATTGAAATGTTTAACGGTGGCGCTGGAAGAAAGTGGCTGTGTGTCCCCAGTGTGTGTGTTCTCCATGTTCCAGTGTATTCCCTGTGTGTGTGCGTGCGTGTGTGTGTGTGTGTGTGTGTGTGTGTTCCCAACGCTGGCAAGTTTGACGTATCATGGCTGAGGACATGGTGAGCAAGGAGTTGATGTAGAGTAAGGTTGAAAGTTGCAGGGAATGTGGATTCTTTAGCCCAGAGACTAACTGATGCTGCCTCTCATTCACAAACTACAGAGTCTGAGCACCGTGGGCATTCATCAACCATTAGAAGCTGCCCTGCTTCAGGACAACAAAGTAAAGAATCGATACACTAATGTCCTGCCATGTAAGTAACAAAAGTGCTTGAAATCAGAAATAAAAACCAGAAATGCTCAGTTGGGTAGGCAGCATCTGTGTGGAGATGCACAGGCACACAAACACACACACATAAATACATACACACGGAAATATACACTCTCATGTACACACACACACATAAACACGGAAACACATACACACAGACACATACATGCATACACACACAGACACACAGACAGATACAGACCCACACGCACACACACAGATACAGACCCATAGACACAGACACACACACACAAACATACACACACACAGACACACTAAGACACACACACACACACGCACGCACACACAGACCCAAAGACACAGACACACACACACAAAAATACACACACACACACACACACAGACACACATTGTGGCTGATCCAGTGAATGCAAATGTTCCAAAAGGAAATGAGAAAAGTTTGGGAAGTCCCTGAAAAGACACAGATGAGTGTAACCAGGATTGGGATGGGGGTGTAGTGGGTAGGGGTTGGATTTCAGCTATGAGGTTCAGTTGGAGAACTGGGGTTGTTGTTGTTATGTTACTGGTGTTGATCGAACAATCATTCACTCCTCTAAGTTCATTTCAGATCACAAAACACACTTGCAGCTGTAAAACAAACAGTGCCATAGAGCCAATATCAAGAATGCTGGAGAAACTCAGCAGGTCTGGCAGCATCTTTGTATGACCCTTCTTCAGAACTGAGTCAGGAGTTGTGACTGGAGACCAGACTGGAAATGTTGACTCTGTTTCTCTCTCCACGGATGCTGTCAGACCTGTTGAGTTTCTCCAGCAATTTCTGATTTTGTTTCAGATTTCTGGATTTCAGATTAAATAACTGTGACACAGGAAAAGGCCATTCAGCCCATCATAGAGAGGCAGTGGTGGAATGGGAATGTCACCGGACTAGTAATCCAGAACCCCAGGTTCACATTCTGGGAATGTGGGTGCGAATCCCACCATGGCAGATGGTGACATTTGAATTCAGTAAAAGTCTGTAACAGAAAGGCAGTTTAGTGGCAATCGTGTAACCATTCTTGATAATTGGAAAAACCCATCTGGTTCGCTAATGCCCTTTAGGGAAGGAAACAACCATCCTTACCTGGTCTGGCCTACATGTGACTCCAGACACACAGCAATGTTGTTGATTCTTAACTGGCCACTGGGCATTTAGGGATGGGCAATAAATGTTGGCCCAGACAACGACGCCCTCATCCCATGAACGAAAAAATAAAGATTTTCGAGCAAGCAGCTGTATTTTGCTTTTATTCAAAAGCAGTAGAGTAATTGTAATCACTGCGTTACCTGCACACTCCCAGTCAGACTCAACCCTATGCAGAATTGCTCCTTAAAGCATCTTATGTCCTTAAAGGTAGTCTCTTAAAGGCAAAGGCACACACACAACAGCTCTCCATGAAGCTAAGGAGATTTGGTAGAGATTTTGATTATGGAATAGGCAAATGATAGTTGTTTGCATTGGTTGACAGTATAAGGATTAGGGGACACAGATTTAAGGATTTGACCAAGAGTTATGAGAGGGAACGTATGGAAGAACACTTTTACCCAGCGAAAAGGCCAACTGAATCTCTGGAAGTTGAGACAATTGATTGTTTCAGTAGGATTGGTAGCTTGAGTGGAGCCACAGGGAGATTGGGATTGACTGGCCCCTGGTCCAGGCACCTGCATGGATTTCCTTTCCACTTATTCTTTCACAGGATGCAGGCATCGCTGGCAAAGCCATCAGTTGTTGCCCATCCCTAATTGCCCTGGAACTGCATGGCTTGCTAGGGCCATTTCAGGGGACAGTAAAGTATCAACTACATTGCTGTTGGTCTGGAGTCACATATAAGCCCAGAGCAAGTAAGGAAGGCTGATTTCCTTCCCTAAAGGACATCAGTGAACCAAACGGATTTTTCCAACTATCAACAATGGCTATACAATTGCTGTCAAACTGTCTCTTAATTACAGAATTAAACAGGTTACTGAATTCAAATGTCACCATCTGCCATGGTAGGATTCACACCCAAACTCCCAGAACATGAATCTGGGGTTCTGGATTACTAGTCCAATGACATTCCCATTACACCACTGCCTCTCTATGATGGGCTGAATGGCCTCCTCCTATTCACAATTACTTTAAGCTGATATTCCTGCGTGCAGAAGATGTGTACTGCACCATTGTGCTTATTGCCGTCTCCTGGTTGGAAGAAAATTTTCTAAAATTATTAATTCTTTTCCTTGGTTGTTTAACAAACCTATTTTTGGCCCTTCCTCATAAGTTAGATAGTTCTTGGTGGTACAGGATTCAATAGATTTTTTTTTCCATTTGTCTTTCTGATAGCTTTGCAGAATGGAAGAGACGGATTGAGTGAGAGATAGCTTGGGCCTTTGTTAATTCCAACAGTCCTACGGTGGGATTTAATTCATTCCAGGATATTGGCATGCATTTCCCTATTGGCTTTACGTAATTGGAACCAGGGCCAGTGGATCTCATTGACTATGGGCTCCCTGATTGGGGTTGTTAACTTGGATCCAATCAGGGAGCCCTGGATCACAGATATAAACAGGAGATTCAGAGAGTCTCCTCACTTTAGGGACTGGCTCTGAGCAAGCTGGTCAGACCTCCATGTACAAACCACGTGTGAATAAATGGTGACTTGGTGATGGATAGTAAGAACTGCCGATGCTGGAGTCAGAGATAACACAGTGTGGAGCAGGCCAGGCTGACATTTCTTTCTGAAGAAGGGACCCGACCTGAAACGTTGGCTTTCCTGCTCCTCTGATGCTGCCTGGCCTGTTGTGTTCCTCCAGCTCCACACTGTGTTATCACTTAGTGACAGATACCAGCTTCTGTGCAATTATTTCAGGCTCAGTTGGCCATTTCCCAGTCAACCACATCGCTGTGTGATCTGGAGTCAAATGTAGTCTGGACCAGGCAAGGTTGGAAGATTTCCCTCTCTAAAGGACATTAGTAAACTGGATGGGCTTTTATGGCGATCAATGATAGTTCCATCAAATAACAAGACTACCTTCACATTCCAAATTTATTCATTAAATTTAAATTCCGTCATGGTGAGATTTGAACCAATGACTTCAGAGCCTGGGCCTAGTAGGTTACTAGCCCAGTGGCATTACTACTATATCACCTTCTGTCCTCTTCTGGTCAGGCTTATCCCCAGAGGAGGCTTTCTGCCTCTCAATATAGATAGTCACTTGGCTCATTCATAACGTTTTCCCTCTCTTGGCATTTTCAGACGATGCATCCCGGGTTAAACTCACTGCTCAGCCAGGAAACAACACTTCAGACTACATCAATGCCAGCTACATGCCGGTAAGTGTTACATATAAGTTGGAAAGGGTTCAGAAGAGATTTACTGGGATGTTGCCTGTTATGGAAGGTTTGAGATATAAAGAATGGCTGGGACTTTTTTCACTGGAGTATAGGAGGTTGAGAGGTTGAGAGATAAGAGGTCCAAAGGTGTGCACGTTAGATGGATTGGCCATGCAAAATTATCTATAGTGTTCAGGGATGTGTAGGTTAGGTGCGTTAGCCATGGAAAATGCAGGGTTACAGGGATAGGGTAGGGGATTGGGTCTGGGTGGGATGCTCTTTGTAGGGCTTGTGTGAACTAATGGGCTGAATGGCCTGTTTCCACACTGCAGGGATTCTCTGGATTCAGTGGACTTTATAGAAGTTTATAAAACCATGAGAGGTATACATAGGGTTAATGGTAGGTGAATTTTCCCTTGGTTGGAGAATTTCAAGATTAGGGGCACATTTTTAAGGTGAGAGGAGAGAGATTTAAAAAAGACATGGGGGCAAATTTTTTACACAAGGTGGTTCGCACATGGGATGTACTTCCAGAGGAAGTGATGGATGCGGGCACAGTTACAATGTTTAAAAGACATTTGGATAAGTACATGATTGGGAAGGCTTTAGAGGGATACGGACCAAGTACAGGCAGATGGGACTAACTAGTTTATAGTTTGAGATTATGGTCAGCATGGAGAGGTTGGACCAAAGGGTCTGTTTCCATGCTTTATGACTCTATGACCCTATGTGAAGGATTAAGAAAGGCTTTTATCAAGGCCTGCACCTGTAACACTGACAACCCTGACCCCAAACACTCACATCAGGAAGATGTAATAGAAAGCACAGTGAATGTAAAGGGCTTGTTGCTGAAGCTAACAGAGACCAGAAAGAGGCACGCTATCAGATCTTTCACCTCTCCCTCACGTTGACAGTTTGTCTAAACAGCTTGTCCCAGTAGTTGGGATGGGTGGCATTAGAACCCAACCACCATTCCTTGACATTTAATGGCATCACCGACACTGCATCCCTCACCACCTACATTCCTGGGGATCAACATCAACCAACAACCTAACTTCACCACTCATGGCAAATATTGTGGCCATGTGTGCAGCTCAAAAGTTGGGATTTTTGAGTCATCACCAGCCCCACAGGTTTTCCCAAAGATTTTGTCCACCATCTACAAGGCATGGGTCAGGCGTGTGATGGAATACTCCCCATTTGCCCTGGATAGGCGTAACGACAGTCAAGAGGCTTGACACCATTCATGTGTTTGGCACCACATCTGCCATCTTCAACAATTACTCCTGTAACCATCGACGGACTATGACAGCAGTGTCTGCTGTGACTTGGAAAGGCAAACCCACCACTTCTACCACCTAGATGGACAAGGGCAGCAGATACAGGAGAACACCACGACCTGCAAGTTCCCCTCTGAGCCACTGACCATCCCTCACTGTCATTGAGTCAAAAGCCTAGCACTTTCTGCGTCACACAATGGGTGTACCTATAGCCCATGGTTCAGAAAGAAAATTGACCATTATAGGAGTAATTGAGAATGCACAGTAAATGTCGGGTTTGCCGATAGAGCCCATTTCCTAAGGATGATCCCCGTTCCGATGAGCCAGAAACTGAATTTTAGGGACTATTATTTGCCTCCTCATATGGATGTCCTCATTTTGCTCAACTGCCCTGTCTGGAATGCATTCTTCTAACTTGTCCACACCTCAGGTGGTCCCATGTCATTGGCACCACAGGGAAGCCTCATTGTCTTCATTCTGTTCAATGCCTTGCCCTGGATGGTTCGTGTTGGCATTGGAGGATTTCTGAGCGGGACATTGTGCATGCCCTCCACTGCGTCCTCACGCCATCCTTTCCCATTATAAATGTCTGGTCCTGATAGTTCAGACGATACTGTTGCCTACATATTTTTTTTTGTCCTATTGTTATTCCGTGGTTTCTGCTCAGGTTTCACTCCTCTTGGCTCTCCACAGGGTTACAGGTCAGACAAGGAGTTCATCGCTGCCCAGGGGCCATTGTCAAGCACACTGGAGGATTTCTGGCAAATGATTTGGGAGCAGAAGACGGGGGTCATTGTGATGCTGACAAACTGCATGGAAGGAGGTCGGGTGGGTCAATGATTCCAGGTTTGGGCCGGACCAGTCTCAAAGCGAAAGGTTGAGGTGTTGGGGGAGTGGTGCGGTGGCTGGTGCGTGAGGTGTTGAACAGCCACTGTCACGGTTTGGGGTCACAGTTCAACGTTGCTCGATTTCACACAGTGAGGTCCCCCGGTCCTCCACACGAGCTGAATGTGAGAGTACAACTGCTGTGGTGACTGGACGTGTGGTTTGCCTGGGACTCTGAAGGGAGGCATTCTCAATGTTCTCAGTGTGTGTACTAGCATTGTAATTAGGAACAGGAGTAGGTCATTCAGCCCCTCTTGCCTACTCCACCATTCAATAAGATCTTGGCTGATCAGTTTGTTGCCTCAACTCCACTTTACTGCCTTCTCCCAATAACTTTACTGGTCCTTATCGAATCAGCTCTACCTTAAATATATTCAATAAGACAGCCTCCACCACTCTCTGTGGAAGAGAATCCCATGACCCTCTGAGAGGCCAGCATTTATTGCCCATCCCTAATTGCCCAGAAGGCAGTTAAGACTCAACCACATGGCTAGGATCTCGAGTCACATGTAGGCCAGACCAGGTAAGGATGGCAGTTTCCTTCCCTAAAGGGCATTAGTGAATCAGATGGGTTTTTCCAACAATTGACAATGGATTCAGGGTCATCATGAGCTTCTTAAATGCCTTAATTCACCAGAATGTCTGATATGAAAAATCTAAGCTACACAGAGAGACTGGGTTTGTTTTCCTTGGAGCAGAGGAGGGATCTGGTGGAACTATACAATAGACCCAAACCTTCCATGGTGGGATTTGAACACAGGACCCAGATCAATACCTGGGTCTCTGGATTAACAGTCAAGCAACAGTACCACTAGGCTATTGCCTCCCCTGTCATGGTGACAGGATCTGGGGTGTGGGGCTGGGGAAAGGACTTGGAAGGAGGTTTTCGGGGTCTGATTATTTTGACAGTCTCCTTTGGATTCTGGGTCATATTGGTGCATGCCTCCCAGCAAAGTAGTGACAAAGTCTCGATGTTAGGTCCCGATCCTTTGAGATCCTACACTGTTCTGCCCACAAGGTATCAGATTGGGGTGTGCTTATAGCACACTTCGGCAAGAACCCTTCCAGATCCCTTCAGTCTCATACACAACGGGAGGATTCCATTAGATGTCATGCCAGATTGCAGAGCCAGAGCCTCATTCTCCCACTCACCTGGATGACAAATTGAAATGTTGTACCAGCAAAGCACTCGAGTCACAGAGAGTATCAGAGATTTTCAGTGTGGAGGATCTCAAAGAGAGCTCACTCCCCAATTTCTCCACAAGACTTGTGTGTTGCACTCCTATACCAATTACTAGGAAATTTCCAAGGGTGGTAATAAAAATGTGTGGGAAAATGATTGGAAAACTGTGGGGTGGGGTGGGGGGTCACTTTATTCAAAGGCAGCTGGAACATAGAACATAGAACATAGAACATTACAGCGCAGTACAGGCCCTTCGGCCCTCGATGTTGCGCCGACCTGTGAAACCAATCTGAAGCCCATCTAACCTAAACTATTCCATTATCATCCATATGTTCATCCAATGACCATTTAAATGCCCTTAAAGTGGGCGAGTCGACTATTTTTGCAGGCAGGGCATTCCATGCCCTTACTACTCTCTGAGTAAAGAACCTACCTCTGACATCTGTCCTATATCTATCACCCCTCAATTTAAAGCTATGTCCCCTCATGCTAGCCATCACCATCCGAGGAAAAAGGCTCCCACTGTCCGCCCTATCTAATCCTCTGATCATCTTGTATGTCTCTATCAAGTCACCTCTTAACCTTCTTCTCTCTAACGAAAACAGCCTCAAAACCCTCAGCCTTTCCTCATAAGACCTTCCCTCCATACCAGGCGACATCCTGGTAAATCTCCTCTGCACCCTTTCCAATGCTTCCACATCCTTCCTATAATGCGCTGACCAGAACTGTACGCAATACTCCAAGTGCGGCCGCACCAGAGTTTTGTACAGCTGCAACATGACCTCATGGCTCCGAAACTCAATCCCTCTACCAATAAAACCTAACATACTGTACGCCTTCTTAACAACGCTATCAACCTGGGTGGCAACTTTCAGTGATCTATGCACATGGACACCGAGATCTTTCTGCTCATCCACACTACCAAGAATCTTACCATTAGCCCAGTACTCTGTATTCCTGTTACTCCTTCCAAAGTGAATCACCTCACACTTTTCCGCATTAAACTCCATTTGCCACCTCTCAGCCCAGCTCTGCAGCTTATCTATGTCCCTCTGTAACCTGCAACATCCTTCCGCACTATCCACAACTCCACCGACTTTGGTGTCATCCGCAAATTTACTAACCCATCCTTCTACGCCCTCATCCAGGTCATTTATAAAAATGACAAACAGCAGTGGCCCCAAAACAGATCCTTGAGGTACACCACTAGTAACTGAACTCCAGGATGAACATTTCCCATCAACCACCACCCTCTGTCTTCCTACAGCTAGCCAATTTCTGATCCAAACCGCTAAATCACCCTCAATCCCATGCCTCCGTATTTTCTGCAATAGCCTACCATGGGGAACCTTATCAAATGCTTTACTGAAATCCAAATACACCACATCAACCGCTTTACCCTCATCCACCTGTTTGGTCACCTTCTCGAAGAACTCAATAAGGTTTGTGAGGCACGACCTACCCTTCACAAAACCGTGTTGACTATCCCTAATCAAATTCTTCCTTTCTAGATGATTATAAATCCTATCTCTTATAATCCTTTCCAACACTTTACCCACAACCGAAGTAAGGCTCACTGGTCTATAATTACCAGGGTTGTCTCTACTCCCCTTCTTGAACAAGGGGACAACATTTGCTAGTCTCCAGTCTTCTGGCACTATTCCTGAAGACAATGACGACATAGCACTATTCCTGAAGGTGACCTGATACAGGTATCTAAAAGAACAAAAGGTTTGGATAGAGTGGATACAGAGACAATGTTTCCTCTGGTAGGGAAAAGACGAACTGCTGATCGTTAATTTCAGTCACCAAGAAATCCATCTGGAAATTCTAAAGAAACCTCTTCAGCCAGAGAGCGTTGAGAATATAGATCTCACAAAGATAAAGCATTCTATCTGGATGCATCATGGCTTGGTACGGCAACTGTTCTGCCCAGGTCCACAAGAAACTAGCGAGTTGTGAACACAGCCCAGACCATCACACAAACCAACCTTCCATCCATTGACTCCATCTATATTTCTCACTGTATTGGGAAGGCAGCCAACATCATCAAAGACCCCTCCCACCCCGGTTATAATCACTTCCAACCTCTTCCATTGAGTAGATGATACAAAAGTTTAAATACACATACCAACAGATTCAAGAACAGCTTCTTCCCCGCTGTTATTAGACTTCTGAATGGACCTCTCAAATTTTAAACTGAATGCTGATCTCACTCTTTGTGCACCTTCTCTGCAGCCACAACATTGTATTCCTCACTCTGTTCTATTCCCCTAATGCACTTTGTATGGTATGATCTACCTGTACTGCACACAAAACAAAACTTTTCACTGTACCTAAGTACATGTGACAATAATAAATCAAAGCAAATCAAATCAATGCAGCTAAGGGCAAGCAAATGAAGGAGAAGAGTCTAGAGGATGATTAAATTTAGATGAGAGATCGGAGGAAGCATAAGTAGAATGTAAACACTTGAACAGACTGGTCACGTCGAATGGCCTGTTTCTGTATTGGGTATTCTACATAATCCTGTATAATTATTTTTGATGAGTCCCTCTCAAATGTGTTTTCTTTTTGGTTCCAGGTCAAATGTGAACGCTATTGGCCACTGGATTACACACCCTGTACCTATGGAAACATCGCAGTTACTGTCTCCTCAGAGACCATTCTCAGCGACTGGACCATCAGAGACTTCAGTATCAAACAGGTTGGAGGCTGGAGGAATATTAAAAGGTTCTAGAAAGACCATGGTGGTTGCATATTTTATTTGGTAACCATTGTCTTCAATAATAGTGGCAACACAATACAGATGTCAGTCAATGACAATGAGCTATAAGCAGCACATGGCTGAGTGGTTAGCACTGCTGCCTCACAGCATCAGGGACCTGGGTTGCTGATATTCCTGGGATTTGGCTCTGGCTTTGGACATGGGAAATGCCGGGTTACAGGGATAGGGTAGCGTGCTGTTCGAAGGGGCATTGTGGACTCGATGGGCCAAATGGTCTGCTTTCACTCTCTAGGGATTCTATGATTCCTTGGATTCTATGAAATAACCATCGCTGAATCCCCCACTATTACTAACCCCTAGGGGTTACCATTGACCAGAAACTGAACTGGACACATCATTGAAAAACAGTGGCTACAAGAACAGATCAGAGGCTAGGAATCCTGCAGTGAGTAACTCACTCACTAACTCCCCAGAACCCGTCCACCATCTATAAGGCACAAGTCAGGAGTATGGTGGAATACTCACCACTTGCCTGGATGGGCGTAGCTCCCACAACACACAAGAAGCTCAACACCATCCAGGACAAAGCAGCCCGCTTGACTGGCACCACATCCACCACCTTCACCATTCACTTTTCTGCCACTGATGCACGGAGGCAGAAATATGTGCCATCTACACTATGTACTGCAACAAATCACCACAACTCTGCTCTGAGGACTAGGTGTCTCCCTTTTTTGTTCCCCAGAATATGCCCCTGGTATTTTGTTTTACTGAGGCATGTCTCCCTCAATTTGTCACCTAGTGTTGTGCTTGTCAGGAAATGTTGGACTGTCTCTTTTGCACTTACTAATGTATTCTATTGCCCCTCTGGTTCCCAACTTCATTGCTCAGATCATTGAGTATAGGAGTTGGGGCATCATGTTGCCATTGTACAGGACATTGGTGAGGCCACTTTCGGATTACTGTGTATAGACCTAGTCGCTCAGCGATAGGGAGGATGTGATTAAATTGGAAAGGATGCAAAAAGATTTACAACTACGTTACTTGTTCTGGAAGGGTGGGCAAGTGGGACTAGTTTAGTTTGGGAAACTTGGTCGGCATGGACAAGTTGGACCAAAGGGTCTGTTTCCGTGCTGTATGACCCTATAACTCCTTTGGAAACACTTTCCAACTCCCAACCTCCGCCAGGTCAAAGGAGACCACCACTCTGTGTAAGTTCCTCACCGAGCCACTCACTATCCTGACTTGGAAATCTATCACCGTTCCTTCGTTGTCACTAGGTCAAAGTCTTGAAACTCCCTCCCTAGTAGGAACAGAAATTCCCAAAATGGCACTTGATCTCCAAGGAACAATTTCTCAGCAGAGATGATTGAAACTAGGGTTGTATTTTCTGATGTGAATCTAAAAGGTTAAGAGGTGATTTGTCTGACGTTTTCAAGAATTTAAGGAACACATAAGGCTGAAGAGAGAGGGAGAGAGAGAGACAGAGAGAGAGGGAGAAGGAGAGAAAGGGAGAGAGAGAGAAAGAAAGAGGGAGAGAGAGAGACAGGTGGGGGAGAGAGAGAGTGTGGGGGTGGAGAGAGAGAGAGGGAGAGAGAGAGGGAGATAAGTTGAAGAATAGAAGCAGAGTAGGGGCAGAGTCTAAGAATTAGAGCCAGACGTTTCAGTAGTGAGGTTGGGAAACATGTCTATAGACAAATGATGGATGGATTTTGGAACTTGCTTCTGCAAATCATAGAATCCCTACAGTATGGAAGCAGGCTACTTGGCCCATCAAGTCCATACTGACTCTCAGAACAGCAACAACCACCACCCCCCCACCCAACCCTTTCCTTGTAACCCTGCCTTTCCCATGGCTAATCAATCTAGCCTACACATCTTTGGATTGTGGGACAAAACTGGAGCAAAACCACACAAACACAGGGAAAATGTGCAAACTCCACACAGACAATTACCTGAGGGTGGAATTGAACCCGGGTTCCTGGAGCTATGAGGCAGCAGTGCTAACCACTGAGCCACCGTGCCACCCCAAGTGGTGGTCAAGACAAGATCAATTGTTCATTCTGATTGAGGCTTTTATTTAAAGATAAGGGGCAAATGAGAGGGGTATATGGAGTTATATCAGAGATCAGCGGAATTTCATTAAATAATGGACCTTGGATTGAGGATAGGGACTGGGTTTAACCATTTTCCACACAGTGGAAAATCCCAGCAGAGGTTCTTGGGTTTGCTACAGGTCTGGGATGTCCATTGGAGTGAGGAAAGGGATGAGCAGTTCCCAGTAGAGCTCTGGGAGAAAAGGAAGCTGCAAAAGGAAAGGAGACTCACCCTCTGCTTTCTCCGGATAGACTGGATCTTCGGAGATACGCTCAGTCTCACATTTCCACTTCACTGCCTGGCCAGATCATGGAGTTCCCAAAACAACAGAGGAACTGATAGCCTTCCACAAAGTACTTCGGGATCACCTGAACAGGAAAAACCAAGGTTTTCCGATTGTACACTGCAGGTAAATACGTACTGTGACTGGATCTCTCTGCTCTGCCTTAAGTCAATAGCTGTACTCTCTCGACTTCTCAAAAACACCCAACTGTTGTGTATGCAGTTTACATGGACTAGTTAGAATAGCACAGATTGGCTTAATGTCAGTGGGAGGGAGCTGGAATAATGTGTTACAGTCAGTAACATGGAGCTGAGGGAGAGAGATGGCTAACTGAGTGAAAGTGGGAGGGAGCTGGAATAATGTGTTACAGTCAGTAACACAGAACAGTAAAATAGAGAAAAGGGTTCGCATATAAATATGTGAATAACAAGCAATGTCAGTGGTGATGTGATAGATGATGGAGAGACTCTGAAGCGAGAAGTGGCATTTTTGAGCTTGTGCTAAATCTGTGCATTGTTATAAGAACGTGAATAAGACTTTCAGTGCAGACAGCCCTCTTAAGTTATTGGGTAGTCAACTTCCTCCAGGACCAATCCCAGAATAATAGATGGTGGCAGTGGTAGGAACTGTTTCTGGTTTATCCTCGTTGGAACTCACCTCCCGAGCTGTTTTATCATTTATTAAAGACCCCATCTGGTTCACTAATGGCCTTTAAGGAAGGAAATCTGCCATCCTTACCTGGTCTGGCCTACATGTGACTCCAGACCCACAGCAATGTGATGGAGTCTGAGATGCTGTAGCAAGCCACTGCATTCAAGAGTAGTTAGAGAAAGGCAATAAATGTTGGCTCTGCCAGTGATTCTCACATTTCATATAATATTGAAGAAAGGAAAATCTCTAGAGGGAGAAACGTTAGTGAGTGACCATGTTTGACTATAGAACATAATTAGGCCACTTGGCTCTTCAAGCCTGTTCCTCCATTCAATAAGATCGTGGTTGACCTGATTTTAACCTCAACTCCACATTCCTTTTCCTCCCTAACAGCTCAGTGGTTGCAACCATAGCTCACAATCTGCAGTCACTAAAGAAGGTGGCTCACATCCACTCACTGCCTTTTCAAGAGTAATTAGGGATGGACAATGAACGCGGGTCGAGCTAGTGATGATTATATCCCCAGAAAGGATAGAGCAACAGGGTAACGTTTGGCTGAAGGGGCCACAGAGCTAAAAGCCAGAGCTGCAGCTGCTGCAAGAATCTATCTACCTCTGTCTTAAAAATATTTGTCGATTCTGCGTCCACTGCCTTTTGAGGAAGGGAATTCCAAAGACTCACAACCCTCTGAGGGAAAAGAAACTGGATTAGCATTGAAAGAGACACAGTCAGTAACACAGGGCTGTAACTGGGGAGATCGATTACTCAGTGAAGGTGTGACAGAGCTGATTGCTATTAAAGATGCAGATGAATGCTTCATTTCATCAGAATTCTTGGTAGCGGGCTGTGTTTTGGGGGAGCTCAGAGGGGGGAAAGCCTGACTAATTAGTTTCAATGTCTGCTGTAACCCGATCTTGGTTGTAACCACAGTGCTGGAGTCGGGCGGACAGGTACTTTAATCGCATTGGATTACCTACTTCAGCAAATGGAACAGGAAGATCTGGTCGATGTTTATGGGATTGTCCGCAAAATGAGGCAGAACCGGCCTCTGATGGTCCAGACAGAGGTACGACATGTTTCCTCTTGCTTTTGCTGGGAATTTATTTGCTGTAACTCAAGAGCGGCTTCACCTCCCGCATCTGGATGGGATGCTCTTCAGTGGATTTGATGGGCTGAAAGGCCTGCTTCCACACTGTAGGGGTTCTGTTATAAACAGCGTGGCTGCACGAGCAGGTCAGAGGCTGGGAATCGTTCAGTAAGTAGCTCACTTCCTGACCCCCCAAAGCCTGTCCCACCACCGACAAGGCACAAGTCAGGAGTGTGATGGAATACTCCCCACTTGTCTGGATCGGTGCGGCTCCAACAAAGCTCAAGAAGCTTGACACCATCCAGGACAAAGCAGATTTATTGATGGATTTCACTCACCATCTCCAACACTCAGCCACTCCACCACTGATGCCCAATGGCAGCTGTGTGTACCATCTTGCAAGATATACCAAGAGTCATTTGATGGTCCCTTCCAAAAATGCCACCTTTACCACCTACAAAGATAAAAGCAGCAAATGCAGGGGAACACCCACTGCCTGCAAGTTCCCCTCTATGCCACTCAACAGTCTTCACTGTTGCTGGGTCAAAAAATCCAAGAACTTCCTCCCTAACAGCACAGTGGTTGCAACCATAGCTCACGACCTGCTGTCACTCAAGAAGGTGGCCTTTTCAAGCGCAATTAGGGATGGGTAATGAATGCTGGTCTAGCCAATGATGCTCATATCCTCAGAAAGGATAGAGCAAAAGGGTAATGTTTGGCTGAAGAGGCCACAGAGCTAAAAGCCAGAGCTGGAGCTGCTGCAAGTTTGAAGCGAGGGAAGTGGTTAGTCCATGAGGAAGGCTCAGAATTGGGCACTGAGCTTCCGTACAAGAATGAGGAAGGTTACAGCCGCACATCCATCACCCTTCCTCATTTGTTCAAACTCCACAGGCTCATGGAAAATGCTCCCGTCATAACACTGAGTGCTCAGAACTCCAACAGAATGTGACCAGGGGGTGCTCCCTACAGTGAGACTCTCCGATTCAGACTGAACTCAGCCCATCACTGGTGACTGAACTCGGTCTCCCCCCATGCTGCTCCGAAGAGTCTGTGTACGAAATGAGCTTGCATTTCTGAGCTTCTTCTCTGTTTGACACGGAGAATCGAACGCCAATTTATCCAAGAGATCAGGAGGCCAGTGATTGTGGGGAAAAGTAAATGTCATTCGGAGGCACTTTGTGATTAAAGGGAGTTTTACTCAGTATCCAACCCCGTGCTGTCCCTGTCCTGGGATGGGGACAGTGTAAAGGGAGCTTTACTTAGTATCCAACCCCGTGCCATCCCTGTCCAGGGAATGTCTGATGGGGACAGTGTAGAGCGATCTTTACTCAGTATCCAACCCCGTGCTGTCCCTGTCCTGGGAGTGTATGATGGGGTCAGTGTAGTGGGAGCTTTACTCTGTATCTAACCCCGTGCTGTCCCTGTCCTGGGAGTGTTTGATGGGGGCAGTGTAGAGGGAGCTTTATTTAGTATCCAACCCTGTACCGTCCCTGTCCTGAGAGTGTTTGATGGTGACGATGTAAAGGGAGTTTTACTCAGTATCTAACCCCGTGCTGTCCCTGTCCTGGGAGTGTTTGATGGGGGTAGTGTAGAGGGAGCTTTATTTAGTATCCAACCCTGTACCGTCTCTGTCCTGAGAGTGTTTGATGGTGACGATGTAAAGGGAGTTTTACTCAGTATCTAACCCCGTGGTGTCCCTGTCCTGGGAGTGTTTGATGGAGATGGTGTAGAGAGAGTTTTTCCCTGTATTTAACAGCATGCTGTCCCTGTCCTGTGTCCTCATTTCAGTGCTGTGGAGGTGCCAGTGTTGGACTGGGATGGACAAAATCTGAAGTCACGCAACACCAGGTTATAGTCCAACAGTCTTACTTCATGTGACAAAGGAGCAGTGCTCTGAACGCTTATGAGTTCCAATAAACCCTGTTCAGCTATAACCTGGTGTCACGTGACTTCTGACTCATTTCGATAACCACATTTACCTTGAATGAAAATGTTTTAGTGTTATTGTGAGGAGTATAATCTTTTCATCTCTGTTTTCCATTTGCCGGTGTTTAGCTCCAGTACATCTTCCTGCATCAGTGTATGTTGGATACAATCCAAATGAAGAGGGAGCCTGAAGAAGCCATTTACGAGAATCAGCGGGACCTTATCTATGAAAATGTTAGTGCCATCCATGCTACAGAGTCACATGTCATTTAATTAGTTAGAACACCGTTCCTTGCTGCCATGTTACTATGGTACTGCAATGAAATGTGCCTCGAACCCCGTGTATGTGCCTTTATTCTATACCCCTCACACTGGGGTCCCCCGAAGGCTGTGGCTCAAATGAATCCAGTCTTGCCAATGGACTATGAATCTTTTGTAATCACTTGTACATCATTGATTCATGCCACTGTTTGTATCTCCATGTCAAAGTGCCTCTTTTTCTGAAAATTAAAATTCTCCGTGTATCCCACTGTCTCTCCGTGTATCCCACCATCTCTGTGTTACTTCCTCTGTCTCTATGTGACCCTCACTGTTTCTACATTGTTCCCACTGTTGCTCTTCACACTGTCTCCCTGTGCCCCTCTCTCTCCCTCTGTGTAGCTCTGTCTCTCCATGCCTCCCTCTATCTCTCTGTAGCTCCCTGTCTCTCTGTGTCTCCATCTGTCTCTATGTCTCCCTTTGTCTCTCCGTGTCTCCCTCTGTCTCTCTGTGGCTATCTCTCTCTCTCTGTGATCCCCTCTGTCTCTCTGTGTCTCCATCTGTCTCTCCATGTCTCTCTCTGTGGCTCCATCTGTCTCTCCATGTCTCCCTCTCTCTCTCTGACTCTCTCTCTGTGACTCCATCTGTCTCTACCTGGCTCCCGCTTGTCTCTGTGTGTCCCTCTGTCTCTGTGTAGCCCCCTCTGTCTCTCTGTGGCCCCTGTCTCTCCATTTCTCTCCCTATCTCTCTGTGTCTCCCTCTGTCTCTCCGTGTCTCCCTCTGTCTCTGTGTGGCTCCCTCTGTGTCTCCGTGTCTCCCTCTGACTCTGTGTGGCTCCCTCTGTTTTTCCGTGTCTCCCTCTGTCTCTCCATGTCTCCCTCTGTCTCTCCATTTCTCTCTCTATCTCTCCGTGTCTCCCTCTGTCTCTGTGTGTCTCCTTCTGCCTCTCTTTGCCCATACATCCAGCAGATATTTATATTGCTATCCTGTACATTCCAATGGTTGTTTAGAAAGAGTTTGTGCTGGCATGATTCCAGTTGTATCCTCACAGGGAAAGCAGCCTATTGATGTTCACAATAGCACTTTACGTCACTTTACTGGGATTGCAGGATCTGTGAATAACCCCGCTGTTTACAACAGAGGCTCCAGACAAACATTCACCCCCAAACCAGTCTCCCTCACCCACAGTCAGGCAACCAGTTTCCTTGGTTGACCGAGAGGGTAAACGAGAGAGGCCTAAGGTAGGAGTTGGGTGGACTGACCCATGTTCAAATGTCTGAAGATCGAGATGAAGGAAGGGAGTTTAGATCCTAAAACAAGCAAAGAACATAACCTGAGCAACCCCTCAAGAAGCCTTCATATTAAACAGTGAGACTGTTCCATAACATCATGGGGATTTCATTGGTGCTGGAGCTGATTTATGTTTTGGTAACTAACTTTGTTGTGAATTACCCAGCGAAGGTTGAAGGTTTTGGGCATGAGGTATGTGGTAACAGTAAGGAGGAACATTATTGGCTAATGAATAATGAACCAGGAATCACTGCTTACAGGAGAAGTAAAGGTGGAGACAATGAAGATTTCAAAAAGGGAAACTGAATGGGTACTTGAGAGAAATTAAATTTGCAGTGTGCCAAGGACAGAGCGGGCACATTGGGACTAACTGATAGGCTCTGGAGAGAGCTGGCATGCATTCACAGGGCTGAATGGCCTCCTCCTGTGCATGGCAGGGGTTCTGTGAGGTCCTGGCCAAAATATTAGATGCATTGTGAGAAAGGTTGCTGATTCGTTAAAGTCTGTTTTACATTGCGAAATCAAGATGAAATTTACCCTCACTATCCCTTTATTGTTCCTCACTATCCCTTTATTGTTCCTCACTATCCCTTCATCGTCCCCTCATTATTACCCCACTCCCTGTCCCCTCACTGTCTCTCCACTGTTCCCCATTCCCCCCCAGCTATCCCTGTATTGTGCCCTCAATGGTACCTAATAAAACTCAGGCATCACACTGTGCTAGACTGGACTGACTGCACTGGCACTTGACTGCACTGGCACTGCACTGGACTGTACTGTACTGTACTGTACTGCACTGGACTGCACTGGACTGTACTGCACTGGACTGGACTGGACTGTACTGTACTACACTGGACTGAACTGGACTGTATTGTACTGGACTGGAATGAACTGGACTGGACTGGACTATACTGGACTGCACTGCACTGGACTGGACTAGAATCAGCCTGCACCAGACTGTGGGAAATGAAAGGCCTGTTACCCTGGGGTCTCCCTGAGGTTGGGTGAGGACGGAAAGATCACACGCCCTCAGGATCCACATTGAAAATCTCCATGGCAGCCTTCCTTCACACTGCAATGAACTGTTTAGATTTTAGGACTAATTCTGTTTGAGTGCCTCTTATAAAAGAAGGCTCTGACCAAGAGACATCTCCAAGGCCTGGAAAACTCTCACAGGTTCATCGGCCCAACTGTACCAAGCATGCTCGCCTCCCCAAAAACCACCGCAACATGACACAGGTCCACATGTTAGAATGTAAGAATGGTATAATTTTTGTACAACTCTTTCTAATTCTGATATTTTATTGGTGGAAATAAATTTGGAAGATAAGAGGTGTTGCCTCACACCCACCAACCATCAATACAACCGTAAGTGCCTGGTGCCAACCACATCCGACACCATCGCACTGTTGGTGAGGCTACACCCACATCTGTTCTCTTCCAGTTTATGACTGTACAAAGCAATAAAGAATAAGTTTATTTGTTGTAATAATTTGTGCCTGTCAGTTACTTAAGTGGACAGACCACACAGGGAACTGACCGTGAGAGAATGCCTGTGCTTATGACAGTGACTATGAGGGTGATTGGGAGAGAGTAGATGTGTTGGAGTGAGGAGTGGATATGTGTAGGGGTGGGTGTGCGTCTACAATTATTTCTGTAGCAGTTTCAATTCTCCAATCCTATTTCCAACCAACCCATTGCATCTGAACGCTGCTCCCACCCTGACTGGGTGGACCATGGTCAATGTCCCTTTGCTCAATGTCTGTGGCTCCATACCTCGCTGTCCTTCCATAATAATGCCTTCAATCTCTCTTCTCGGTGCCTGCCCAGTGATCAATTCCCCCACTGCTAATGCCCCATCTGCCCAATTACACCCCTTCTCAATGCCCATCTTCTTGACATACCCTCCTGCTCGATGCTGTCTGCTCAACCACCCCCCTTGCTCCCCAACCTTGCTGGATGCTCCTCATCTCAATGACCTGCTCCTCAATGCCCTCCTGTGATCGATGCCCCTCGGTCGCTGATATTCCTGGTATTTGACCCTGGCTTCAGGTTCTGTTTGGTATAAAGGAGATCGAGGGGAACATGATGATGGCAGACAATGGATAAGGTCAACACATAGCACCTGCTCCTACTGGTGGGTGGCACAGTGGTTAGCACTGCTGCCTCATAGCACTAAGGACCTGGGTTCAATTCTACCTTTGGGTAACTATCTATGTGGCGTTTGCACATTCTCCCCAATACATGTGGGTTTCCTCTCTCAGTCCAAAGACGTGTGGGTAAAGTGGGTTGGCCCTTAGTGTCTAGGGATGCACTGTGGGAAATGCAGGGTTATAGGGATAGGGTATGGGGCTGGGTCTGAGTGCAATGCTTTTTGGAGAGTTAGTGCAGACTTGATGAGTTGAATGGCCTCTTTCTGCACCGTGGGGATTCTCTGACTTGGATTCACAGAATTAAAGCTTTGGGCATGAGATTGGGGAGGTATGACAGCAAGAATGTTTCTACATGACAGGAATGTGCCCAAGAGGGCACTAGAAATGGAGATGAATGATTTTGAAAGGAAATTAGACAGGCACTTAAGGGGAATAAACTCGCAGGAGAGTAGGAGATTGATCTCAAATTAAGGCTGCACCGTGGCCCACAATCCTGGCCTGAATTTATAGCCAGAATCCAGGCTCAAATCTCTGGAGAGTCTTTAACACAGAGCCTAAGATAACACCATATGAAGCTGCACAAATCCCGCAGGCCAGGC